AGATGACAAACATTCAGAAGACCCAGGACACATAGTTGCTATTGCAAATTGAAAATCTGGTCATGTAGTTTATGGAAAATTACTCCAGGGTGTTCAGAGAAGACAGCAATTGAGATTACAGATCTGATCAAGAAGTGCTGAGACATTATTCCAGGAAACCGGCCAGACATGAAAGATGTTGTAAAGATGTTGGAGAAACTTAAGTAGACACTAAAAAAGGTCTGGGTATGAGTGTTGAACCTACACTAGAATATGATATGTTGAGCACATATACACATTGGTGATGCATTTCACAGGTTTTTTTGATAAATTCACATATGATACAGTGGCTAGAAACAGTTTGAACCAAACTTCTAAAAATATTCTTGTTTTATATACAAGCAATATTCCATCTCTTCTTCATAGCATTCTCGTTTTTGATTTAGTGTTATGTTCACTTGCATCTTAGGATGCAGGAGCCTCTCATTATTGTTTAAAAAGGCAGCATTTTCCAAAAATCTACATTAGAAACATTTCACACCCAAGATTCCAAGGGATGGAGAGATCACTAATCCTACAGATCTACATAGTAGCTAACTATAATCAGATGAAGCATCAAAAAACCTTTTTAAACAAGAATCTCCATACTACTGCCAGAAAGTAATACCACATACAATAACAAGATATACACAAACTTACATAAACAAACACCACTCTCAATAAATATTTAACGGGAAGAGAGTAGATAGATCTAACGCTCACCAGATGATGGTTATGGATCTTCAACAGCTCCTGGAAAAGGTTTCACCTGAAAAGAAATTCAAGGACGGGTCATTCCCTCCTAGATCTTGTCAAAATTCGAACAGATCTGACAAAGAGACATTATTTTCTTCTTCTTCTTCACTTACCGCAAATCCTCTCTGGACATGCACTCCAAATCTTGACATGGAAGAACGAAATCCCATCAGTTTTACGGTGAGAGGACGGAGATTTGGAAGGAGTTGGGTTGTTGAAAACAGGGGAGACATTAGGGTTGACAGACAGAGATAAAGTGAAGGACGAGATAACTTCTGTACCAAATCTAAAATGGGAATCCTGTTGAACTGCGTAGAAGTTTTCAAGTGCAGTCGGCTCAGGACCACGTGCCACGTGTGCGGTGAAAAAATGGAAAATGAACATTAATTGTGTTAAAGCCTAATATAAGTCCCTGTACTATGTTTCTTCGTTCATTTTTGTCTATGTACATTCAAATCGTTCATCTTAAACGATAAAAGGCATCTTGTTGGGTCCTTCTACAGTGCTACTATGACCGAAAAAAGGAAAAAAAAAAAATTTATGGTCCCAGGCCGTTAGGGCGTTACTGTAATTAGATTAAGGTTTAGTTTAATAATATTGGTTTTATAGTTGTATTTGTTAATTTTTAATTAT